TCCCAGACCCTTTGCGCATGCACCTGGTGCATTATGTGCTTGCTGGAGTGGGGAGGTGCGTTATTTGCTTGGTGGGGTGTATGTGTGTCTGCCCCTCCATCAAGGGAAGGGGATCATTAGCCAAGAAGGAGGGCAGACCGGCCCTAGAGTGCCATTGTTTCCAACCAACCCCACAGCAACCGCTAACTGGTTTGCTGATCCCTATAGTAATCACGATATTATTTTTTTGGGGGGGTGTGCGCTTTTTGTCCATTGATTCCCACAGCTCCTGGATGACCCTCAGTTCCGCTGCATCACCAAGATCAAAACCATTGGCAGCACCTACATGGCAGCTTCTGGAGTGACCCCCGACGTCAACACCAATGGCTACAACAATGCTGTTAAGGTAAATGGAAGGGAAGGGGATAGTTTGCGCAGCTATGGGGAAGAAGTGAATAGAAAAGCTTATTCCAACAGCTGATGAGAGTTGTGGTCTAAAACATCCAGAAGGCACCATATTAGCAAAGGTTACAATAACCAGGGGACGCGGGTGGTCTAAACCACTGAGCCTCTTGGGCTTGCCGATCAGAAGGTTGGCGGTTCGAATCCACACAACGGGGTGAGCTCCTGTTGCTCTGTCCCAGCTCCTGCCTTCCTAGCAGTTTGAAAGCATGCCAGTGCAAGTAGATAAATAGGTACCACTCCGGCAGGAAGGTAAACGGCGTTTCTGTGCACTCTGGTTTCCATCACGGTGTATTGTTGCACCAGAAGTGGTTTAGTCCTGCTGGCCACATGACCTGGAAAACTGTCTGTGGACAAATGCCATCTCCCGCGGCCTGAGAGATGAGCACTGCAACCCCATAGTCTCCTTAGACTGGATTCAACCATCCCAGGGGTCCTTTACCTTTTTACAATAACCAGGGGAACTCCTGAGTCCAGCCCACTAGATTTGTGTAACAAGCACTGCAGCATGTCAAATCCTTCTGTAGAGCCTGAATGAGAAAGACATGACCATTGCTCCTCTGTTTCCAGTGACAGAGCTCTGAGAAGGAGCCGGGAAATGTTAGATATGGGAGCTTATGGAAGAGAGAGGAGTCACGGGTTCTGCTCATTCAATGCTCGAAAAAGACTTTTTGCATCCATTTCAGAATTAACAAATGGGCTTCGGTTAATGTGCAGAATATTCGGAATAAAGAAAGAGCATTAGTGTTCAATAAATAAAATTTGGCCGTATTCATTCCCTTTGGAGATGTGCAAAGTAACTCATTGTTTTAACAAGAATAGAGGACCTATTGCTCAGGAAGCTCGTGAAGTACTTTGGAGTGGAGTTGTGCCTCCCTGGGGGACCTAATCCTGTCTGCTTTCCTTCCTTTGCTCGGCTCAGAAGGAAGAACTTTCGGAAAAGGAGCGCTGGCAGCACTTGGCAGATCTTGCTGACTTCGCCCTGGCCATGAAGGAGACACTGATGAACATCAACTATCAGTCCTTCAATAACTTCATGCTGAGAATAGGCAAGTGGAAGATTTTGGCAGAGCCTAAAGAACGCGGATAGACATTCTTATCAGCTGTATCAGGCACAGAGTCCTTCACAGACATTGGCTGACAGGAGAACCGCTGAATAGGTTTACGGAATTTACTGCTGCAAGACGCAGCGGTGGCATTGGGTTCAGGTGGTTTAAAGAGAGATTGGGCAGATTCATGGAGAGGGGAGGTCCACCAGTGGCCCTAAGCCTCAATACCAAAACAGAGCCTCCAGATTTTAGGCAGGATACTTTGACATGTTGCTGGCAGAGGGAGGGTGGGAGTTGTCATCTGGGAATTGGTTGTGGGCTTCCCTGAGGCATCTTGGTTTGATTTGGCAAGGGGTTTCTTGCGTTCTCCAGCCTCCTCTTAGTTTGGGCCTGCACACTGGGGCAAAGACTTTTAGAAGTACGCACTTATAACTTGAACAGAGAGCCAGTGTGTTGTAGTGGCTAGAGGGTTGGACTAGAATTTGGGAGGGCAGGGTTCAAATCCCCACTTGGCCGTGAAGCTCCCACTGGGTGACAGTGGGGGCCAGTCTAGCCTGCCTCACAGGGTTGTTGTGGGGATTAAATGAGGGGGTGGGGAGAAGCATGTACACCACCTTGAGCTCTCTGGAAACGAACTTGTGGGGTATAGAAGCAATAAATAAATAATAAACATTCTCTCTCTCTCTCTCTTTCATGGCTTTGGCAGGCATGAATAAGGGGGCAGTGCTTGCGGGGGTCATTGGTGCCCGCAAACCTCACTATGATATTTGGGGGAACACAGTGAACGTGGCCAGCCGAATGGAGTCCACAGGCGTCATGGGGAACATTCAGGTGAGGAGGCTCATGAAGGGTTGCGGTGGTGGGAATGAGAGTGACTCACACAAAACTTCCAAGGAAGCCCTAGGTTCTCCAAAATATTAGTTGAAAAGCCACACCTTGTTAGCACATTTAGAGGAGAGAGGAAGAGCCAGCCATACTTTTCATTTTGCACAAACCACCCTTTCCGCCTAAACTGCCGGCACAGCTCCCAGGAGCCTCAGAGCAGTGCAGGGTCAAAACAGCCCAGGGACCCTGAATTCAAGGGGTTATTGAAGTCTATGCCTGTATTTATCTCTTCCCATCTTTAGGAGCATAATTGGGAAAGCACGGCTTGGGTTTCCTTGCGCACTTTTAATTGTGTGTTTTGTGGATTGTGTGATCAAATCACACGGCATTTCCAGATCTCACATTGCCCTTTGCATAGGATTGCCCTCCAGCAGATGTTTTCTCTTTCTGGCTGCTGTTGGTGGTGGCAACATCTAAGCCCAAGCAACCCAGCTCCCCTCCAGTACGTACCACTTCCTGTCCATTCTCATTCTGTCAATCTGATGTCTCGTCAATACAAGACAGGATGGGGTGAAGCAGCCAACCTGCTGCCCTCCAGATGTTTTGGGCGCCTCTTGCCATACCTTGTCATTGGCTCGACCGATGCAGTTTGGAGTCCCCTCGACACCAGATTGTGGGAGGGAGCTTTGCAAGGTTGGTCCCGCCAGATGGTTGCATCCATACCTTCTCCCTCTTTTCCAGGTGGTGGAGGAAACCCACTTCATTCTGAAGGAGTACGGGTTCCGCTTTGTGCGCCGAGGGCACATCTTCGTCAAGGGCAAAGGGGACCTCTTGACCTACTTCATGAAAGGCCGCGAGAAACAAGGATCCTTCGTCAACGGCTCTTGCGTGACTTTGCCTCACCAGGTGGTTGACAGCTCATGATACCTCTTGGGCCTCGCATGCGTCCGTTGCGGAAAAGGGTGGGTGCCTCTTGCGCTGCCCAAGGAGGCGCAGTTCTCGGCACCTTCTACTCCGGACTGATATACACACCACTAACACCATTAGATTTACAGGAAACCACCCCCTCCCTTTGCCTGTTCCTTTCTTCTTGGAGGGTTATTATTTGTAAAGGGGCTCCCTCTGACAGCAGTGCCTGCCTTTGCCTTGTGACGTCGACTGCAGAGGAGCAAGGAGGGGTCGGTGGGAGGAGTTCCTGTCTCTTGCACAAACACACGGGCTCTTGCACACTTGGGTCTGGAAGCGGGAGTAGAATTTCCAGTGCAGCATCGCTTGAGTAGGGTCAACCTTGGCTACGTTACCTTTTCCTAGTCCAAGAAAGGGGCAGGGGATATGGTCTTAGTTTTCCACGTGCCTGGCCTCTGCATAGAGCTTTCTGCTGAAACAAATGCCAACTCAGGGTGGGTATTATGGCAAACAGGCTGGGAGAGAAAGCCAAATGAGATTGAGTCGTTGGTTCTTACCTTTGGAGCTCACCTTTTGCCACAAAACCACTGTAGGTAAGTAGGAGGAAAAAAGGGGGGGAGAGAGAGAGCAAGTGCATTCTATTTCTTTTGAGACTAAGAAGATGTCCTATTTCAGATATATTATATATATAAATATATATATATATATATAAAAGATACAGATTATATTTTTAATTGCGTCTTAATTCTGAGAGTGAGGTGGCTCTTTCAAGCCACGACTTGCATCTTTTTTTCTGCCCTCACCTCTGCTGATGCTGTAAAAGAGAGAGATTTATATAGCCTGGTCCAAGACTGTTTTTACACCTCCATCCGATTGTTAAGTTGAAATACAACCTGTAATTATTTCTCTAGTTTCTCAAATAGAATCAGTTTGGTTTTAAAGTTACAAGGTGTCTTGTTTCATCTTTGTTGGGGGGTGGGGGTGGGAGCGAAAACGCTCAGTTTCCTTGCGCAGAGTCCACAGAGATGCCATTATACCACAAGCAGACAAGTGGACAGTGTGGGGTTTGGCTGGATGGCTGAACTGGCTCCAGAGTGGTGGACATTTGAGAATACCAGCTTTCATTTAAAGAACAGGTTTCCACGTCTCAAAATGAAGCCTAAGAGTGACAGTATGTGATTTTTTGAAAAGCAAACCATTCTGAGCAGAAGCAAGCAGCTGGAGTGGGTGTCAGTGTTAGAGAGGCCCTCCTGACACTATCTTTGCAGTGTTGAGCTCAGGAGCCTGATGGGAGGATGTTTTCTTCCACAATTAGTGGAAGGTCTCAAGGCAGACACCTTGCAGTACATTGCTTGCCTATTCCTCCTGTGTTGGTCTGTTGTAGTCGAAACAAAATAAAAAAAATTCCTTCCAGTTGCACCTTAGAGACCAACTAAGTTTGTCATTGGTAGGAGCTTTCAGTGTATCTGAAGAAGGGTGCATGCACACGAAAGCTCATACCAATGACAAACATAGTTGGTCTCTAAAGTGCAACTGGAAGGATTTTTTTATTTTTATTATTAAGGTGATGCGTGGAATCAGAGGGCTAGGAACCCTGAGCTCACCTGGCCCTTTGCTGCCCCAACATTTTGCTCAGTCTCACCTGTCCTACCCTTCCTCCCACTGCTGTCAGGTCCACCAGTGCTAACCTTTGCTAAAAAAACACACCCATGGCCTGATTGGAATTCAAGCCGCTACCAGCCAACTGCTAATTATTAAGGAGCCTGCTGAAACAACCACTAGCACTGACAAGTTAATTTTATGTAACCAACTTATTTCTAGCAAATATATTAGTGCCGGTATATGAAACAGAATACCAAGCTAGTTAACTCTGGGATGTGACACAACTTTAAGAGAAGAATAATAAGAAAAGGCCAACTAGCATGCAGAAATGGGAAGGCTGAGACATAGTCTTAGGGAAGCTGCTCAAGTGAGTGATGTTTGTCCAGCTTCGAGATGAGATCGCATGAAATTGTTTATTTGAGTTCGGGCCTGGTTACAGGCCCGAAACAGCCTTGGTTTCCCTGATGGCAAAACTAATGGAGACCGCATGCTTAACGGGGGGGGGGGGGGGGGGGGGGCGCCGCAGCAGCAAAATATTAGAGCCTTTTGGCCTTTTATAAAGAGCAATATAAGACTGATATCAATAAGCACATATGCTACAGATTCTTGTATATCCTCACCAGTGAAGTACATATTACTGTCCATGTGAGCAATTAATTTGCTTTTGAACGTATTATAAAAGTAGAAACATTAATTTTTTTAAAAAAAGAAACTCAGTATTGCATTTTAAGGTTCTCCATGTAGTTCCAGCTGCTTTTGCATGGTTGGCAGCTGTTTTGGAGATGGTCAGTGGCCAAGAAGCTTCCTCGCACCTTGCATTAAAAATTGCAGCATCGAAACACTCTAGCCAGCCTCAAAAGGAAATACAAGAAAAGAGCTGTTTCCTGTGTGAATCCTGCCACGTGAACCCGCTTTGGCCCTTTTCATGGTAAGAATATGGGATGGAAATGACGCCCACAATGTCACAGAAAGCACAAAGGTTGAAAAGTGGAAAAAACTGCCGCACCCATAACTGGATTAGCAGCATCTAGCAGAATCTTTCGCCGGTAGCTGCTTCCATCACGCTTCGATAACGCACACCACTTTAGAGGTGCACACTTTGCCCACTGGGATGGCAGAGAACTCCAAACAGCCAGCTTCTTAGAAGGCATCTTTTCAGCAACACAGGGAACAGAGGTTTTCTGTGAGGGCCGATCTGCAGAAGTGCCACTGTTGATAGGTAATTCACACTGCAGCAATCTCAGAGAGCTGTGTTGTCATCGGAAGTCACGCCCGTGGAAGAGGCAGGCAAACCCGATAAAGAAGATGGACTCTGATTTTCTTCTGAGGTTGTGATGCAATGAAAAGCTTCATGAAGCGATTTCTCTTGGAAGAGGGGCAAATGAACTGCCGCCATGTCTAGCATAGAGGCTGGAGAATTTTCTGTTGAAGAAGGAAAAGTGGGTGGGAGGAAGAGTGGAGGGTTACAGTACAAAACAGCTAGCTTCCCTCCCCAACACAACTTATTTCCTCCAAACTCTGGGGAAGTGACTTGGTTTTGTTGTCGCCCCAAATATCTACACATGGTGGAGAGAATATACCCCAAAAGGAGTTTCTCACGTGTCATTTTCACAAGCTAATCTGGACCCTATAAGGATGGTTTCATTGGTTACATCATTAGCAGGAAAAGGCAACCTGCAACTGCCTTTCTTTCTCTTTTTTGGGTTGCATGCATATTCCCTGGAGACCAAGGGCCATCCACTCATCCTCACAGCTTGTTCACACGCTCATAAAAAGGGGAAATGTTTATCTTTTGCATTTTATGAAGTAAATGGTGGTATAGGGAAAGACAGCCAGGGGAACCTCACAAGGTGATAGTATTGTTTATTTAAAAAGCCCTAGTTTTCTACACTTACAGCAACATATCTTGAGTTTAAGAACTCTTCGGAAGAAGCAACTAAAACACAAACCCAGAACATGTAATTCATGCAAATGCGTTGTGCCATTTAGGCACACTCTATATACTATTTCTGTGAGTTCTGCAGAGGTCTGCTCAAAACGGGTGAGGAATCTGTGGGCCTTCACATGATGCTGGACTACATATCCTATAACTCTGACCACTGGCCAGGCTGTTAGGAGTTTGTAGTATTTGAAGGTTCAACTCTTTGGTTCTTTTTGCACAATCAAATCCTAGCTTAATACACCAAGATATCCATGTGCTTTGTACAGGTGCAGGCAGTCCCTTTGCCTCGCCTTTCATGTGAGCTTTGAAGCTCAGCCTTCACCTCCGATTCTGTGCAAGGGAACCCTGTGCAAATGCTGGAGGTTGGGCTTCTGTGACCCCCTCGTATCTGTATCTCCCTGTTCTGTCTCATTGTCCATAGAAATCGCCGGTTCCTCTGTAACTCTTGCTCTGGGAAGCACCAAGTCCTCTTCTGAAGAAGATTCCTCCAGCAGGGGCATGAACAATATCTTAAGAGGTGTCAAAATGCATGCACTTTTGAACTGTTCAGTCCGCCATCTTGATTCAAAATGGTGCCTGCCAATATCCAAATGTAGGCTAAAATCCTCTCTTTGATCTCAGGGACCATGCCAATTTGGGCAATGATTACCTTCAGAGGTGGCCAAATAAGTGGCATTTGGAATGGTTCAGTCTGCCATCTTGAATCAATACAGCGCCGGACGATATTCAGAAGTAGACAAAAACTGGCACCTACATCTCAGGAACCAAATTGGGCGATGGTATTCTAAGCTGTTTTCAGACGCATAGAGAACAGACGGACAGGCAGTGGGAGACGGACAAACAACTTTCTAAAGTATATAGTAGATTACCAACCCCAAGCTGCAGTTCTCTCACCTTTACATGCAACAGTGACCTCGGTTGGGAAGGCACTCACAGGATCTCCGTAAGTTAGTTTTGCTGTGAATGGGAAAGTCTGATCTTCTCCTGCCACGCCGTAGTTAAATTTAAGTAGGTTGTATAAGGAATTCCCCTGCAAATGTCCTTCAAGGAAAGCAGCAAAACGCTCCTGCAAGTAAGGAGAGGCAACTGTAGAACCACGAAGATCTGTAGGAAAAGCTCAGCTCTGCATGCAGCACCCTGGATGTCGTCAACCACTGTAAAAAAACCACATACCGCTTTCCCAAATGTGTGGATGGATAAGTTTGTTCTAAAGCACCAGCCTGCCTTATTCAGAGGTTATCCAGCCTCACAGGAAAAGTTTGTGCCGGATTTGGAAATGCAATTCAAATTACAGCTCTTATTCCAGGTTGTTGTTGTTGTTGTTTGGGGGTGGGGGAGAAAGTAAAGAGAGAATGAGGTTTCAATCTCGCTCCCTGGCTTAATCCTGACCAGAGGTGTTGGACAAAACAATCTTGTGTTGGAGACAATTGTTCTCCTTCCGGGGGGAGATGCACTGAGTCCCACACTCAAAATCCAGTTTTTTTCCTGGGCTGACACTCAGTAAGTTGGGACGGTGTGTTGCTAGGCTCCCCTGTTGCATGCATCTTGCTTGATCCAACTGGATGGTTTTACTCAACTGGCCTTCACTCACAGAGGAAACCTTTTGCTCCCATTTCTGTGGGCGTGAGGGATAATCCACAGAGCAGCTACCAACAGGTGTGGGCTGCAGGCAAATAAATGCAGCTGAATCAGTGACTGTTTGGTGGATTCCAACCCCATGGGTGGTATCCAAATAACTCATTCTGCCAGTGCAAGAATGTAACTCCCCACCCACTGTGCATTCCCTGCACCCTCCACAAATCCGCTGCAGAGTCTTGAGAGAATCCACAGAACAGATTTAGGGGGCATGGGAGGAGGGGGGTGGAGTTCCACTACGCAAGTGGAAATCCTTGAAATGATGGAGCATGTTGGCTGGATACTGCCCCATGTCCTTTATGAGAGAAAACAAAGCTACAGTAACAGTAGCAGTAACAAAATCAGTAACATTTACCCATTTAAAACAGAATTTTAAAAAAGTTCAGTTATATTAAGTGTCCCTTAAACATAATCAGTTAGAAAACAGCATCTTTTGTGATCTAAGCACACGTATCCTTGCCTGTAATCATGCTTTTAAAACTGAATGCATAACAACGTAGCATGACCTGAAATCTGTTTTCTAAAAAACGCAAGCGCAATTTTGAGGTCAGTTATTATACGGATTGGTTATTTATCATGAATCGTAGTCATTATTGTGCAAAATATGAACCTGTCAACCAAACACAAGGACCATTTACTTTCCATGTAATGGAGAAATGCCTTTTCTGACTAGCAAGTAGCAGGCAGTGCTTCTGCAAAGTTCTAGGTACATGGTATCCATGTATGATCTTGCTCAGGGTTTTTACAGACAGCCAAACAGAAATAATTAAATTTTGGTTATTGTATTTTTAACGTGTTCTGGGTTTTTTTTCATTTTCTCATCTTAAAAAAAAAAAAAAAAAAGGAAATCACAATTCCTCCCCTAAATTCTGCAGTGGAGGAGGAGGAGTTTGGATTTGATATCCCGCTTTATCACTACCCGAAGGAGTCTCAAAGCGGCTCACATTCTCCTTTCGCTTCCTCCCCCACAACAAACATTTTGTGAGGTGAGTGGGGCTGAGAGACTTCAGAGAAGTGTGACTGGCCCAAGGTCACCCAGCAGCTGCATGTGGAGGAGCGGGGAAGCGAACCCGGTTCCCCAGATTACAAGTCCACCGCTCTTAACCACTACGCCACACTGTGCTAAAATCCTGTGGGTTGCCCCGTGATTTACATGGTTTGAAACACAAACTGTACCAGCAACTGGCCAGGAGCACCTGACCCCTCATGGTGGAAGCAGCCAGAAGCCTCAAGGCAAAGCAGAGTTTTGAGAGGACAGCAGCGCCACCCACCCTGACCTTCAGTAATGCTCTCCCTTTTGACCGATCGATCAATTACAGTGAACAGGCAGTGCAGCTGAATAAAAACCTTGCTTCCCGTTTCACACACATGGACTCTGGAGTGCACAAATAGGGTCTCTCCTACCTGTAACTGATCTGCCTGGAATTTTCTCCCAGCGTAAGCGTTCAGGTGGTTTGAGAGCACAGACAAGAAGCGCTTGATGTCAGTCTGCAGATGCTTGCGAGCGATGTGCTCCAAGGGGATGAAGGGCGGCACCGAGTGGCGCAGGATCCGGACTGGCTGGCGTATGTGGAGGTCCAGGTAATAAGAGTCCAGGTAGGTGCCTTCAAAGGCAGTGCTGATGCACAGACAGACTCCTTGCTTGGTCAGCTTCCCACTGAGGCCTAGGGAAAAACATCCTTACTCCGTATTGCGACAAATCAGAATTACAAAAGCAGGAGTATTAAGAATAGACTGCTCCTTTACAGTGGGGAGGAGCATCAGATGATGAACAGTTTCCAGCTTCCTCTAATATTGTGCCAATTTATTTCTTATTTTTGATCCTGGCATGTGGTTTCATGAAACATCCAGGGTGCCCAGCTACTGTCTGCTTCTGCTTGGTCCCAAGCTTTCTCCTCCCTTTATGGCCTTCTAGACTCAAAGGCCTTGTCATTGGAAAAGAAAGAAGGAACTTGCACCCTCAGGTGCTCAGGATGACCCCCAACGTTTGGGATACATAAGAAGCAGTCCTAAGAGGAGAATGAAGCACACAAACAGCTGCTATAAAAAGGGTATTAAGCTATATAGCAGATTGTGAAATACCGATGGATCTCAGAAATATGCTTTTAAATTATTTGGAAGAATTATTGAAATGGGGGTTATTTTGACCCCAGTAAAATGTCAATAACTATTTGTAGAAATAAACATATTTATCCTGTGTCTGAATGGTTTTTGGAATTTGGGATGTTGCTATTATGTATGTTAATTTATTATAGCCATACAAGAGAGATATAATGTATGAGAATAAGCTCAAAGACAAACAAGTCATTTCTATAATGAAAAATTTGAAGAGAGTGTAAGATGCTTTTCATTAGAACTAAAAGCTTTCCTTCTCCTTTATTTGTTATTTATGGTGTGATGAATGCCTGTTTCACCAACACTTTTAGTATACTTTTTACATTTACAATAAAAACTAAGAAAAAAGATCGACGCAAGTAGGGGATTAAAAGAGATGAACCACCCCACAAGCTCTGTGTTCTGCAGCAGAGGTGCCAAATGCTTAATTAAGTCATTAGAGCAAAAAAGACAGAGAACTGGGGGAGACTCCACCCAGCAAAGACCTAGCCAAGCAGTATACAACTGAGGAGATTACCTGTCAGACGAAAGACGTGTAGTAACTCCTTGGCGCTCTCAGTCTTCCACTCCAGAAGGACTTGTTGAATCTCTGTAGCCTTAGAAGTCAGAGTACCACTTTTGGTTTTGTCTTTGACCCCATCAATCTACAAAAGACCACACGCTCAGCTGTTATTAGGTGGCATGTCTGGCACTGCAAGGTGAAACCAGTTCAAGTGCTGTTGAAGATGTATGAACCTGGACATCTCTAACTGCAAAAAGCCACCACAGCAGAGGCTTCAGTCTAGGATTTCTAGAGATATTTCTTACGCATACCCAATTTCCTTAAGGGTTAAGACAAGAATGTTAAGTTGCTAAATAAATATAAGCAACTGTTCTGACTTGATCATAAGGTATTTAATTTTTGCACATTTCCCCACTTGTGCATGCAACCGTGTGCTGCCATAGGCTTAAACTTTACCATGGTTCACAGTGCACCTTGCACCTACTTGAGAACGACACACTTCCAATTTGGCCCTCAGCAAATCTCTTTGACGCCTCAGTTCCTTGATCCTTGCTTTCATTCTGTCCACATTCTCCTCATGTTCTCTCTTTTCCCTTTGTTTCTTGCGGGAAGAAGCTTCCAGCGTTTCCAGGTGGGAAAAGATACCTGCAAAGAACCACAATGCAAGTCAATGGCAGGAGCATCCATTTGTTTCTACTGCAGAGATAATAACCAAACTATATTTGCATATTTGATGCACAGGACAAATGCAAAACTTGCCATTAAATTCACCTCGTGAGAATTAACTTCTCTAATTTTAATACTGGAAGAAGAGCCTGCTGGATCAGGCCAAATGGGGCCCATATAGTTCAGCACGGTGGCCAAACAGATGCCCATTATGGGAATCCCGCAAGATGGGCGGTGTAAAAATAATATATTATTATTATTAGTTATTATTATATACAGGATATATATTAAATTCTATTAATGTTGAGTAGCTTTTTAATAATAATAATAATAACAATAACAATATTTTTTTATTTATACCCCGCCCTCCCCAGCCAAGGCCGGGCTCAGAGCGGCTTACAAGCAATAATAAAAACAAGATGAATGATTACAACTTAAAAACAAAGATAAAATACAACATTAAAATAATGGAACATTAAAATATTAAAATGTAGCCTCATTGCAGGAAGAGAAGAAAAAGAAAAAAAGAGAGGGAGGGAGGGAATCAAATTGGCTCCAAGCCAAAGGCCAGGCGGAACAACTCTGTCTTACAGGCCCTGCGGAAAGAAATCAGATCCTGCAGGGCCCTGGTCTCATGAGACAGAGCGTTCCACCAGGCTGGAGCCACCACTGAGAAGGCCCTGGCTCTGGTTGAGGCTAATCTGACTTCCTAAATGCCCGGGACCTCTAGGGTGTTGCTATCTATGGACCTTAAGGCTCTCCGTGGGACATACCGGGAGAGGCGGTCCCGTAGGTACGAGGGTCCTAGGCTGTGAAGGGCTTTAAAGGTCAAAACCAGCGCCTTGAACCTGACCCTGTACTCCACCGGGAGCCAGTGCAGCTGGAAAAGCACTGGGTGAATATGCTCCCATGGCAGAGACCCCGTGAGGAGCCTCGCTGCAGCATTCTGCACCCGCTGGAGTTTCTGGGTCAGCTTCAAGGGCAGCCCCGTGTAGAGCGAATTACAGTAGTCAAGCCTGGAGGTGACCGTCGCATGGATCACTGTGGCCAGGGCGGGTTTTTAATCTATATACACATATAGTTTTAATTCCATTAACGTATAATAGCTTTTTAACCTATCTACAGATACACATAATGAATTCTATTAGCCCTTCAATAGCTTTTTATTCTCTTTACCTGCCTATCTATATACCGCTATATTTTGAATTCTAGGGAGGTCCAGTGTCTCCCCTTTGCCTTCAGCCTCCTCGACTCCCAGACAGAGACACAGGTCACGGAGCCCTTTCCATGCCCGGAACCGGGCGCGGCCCCGTCCTCACTCACCGCCGCCGCCGCCGTCCATCCTCCCCTCCGCCTCGCCGAGCTTCGCCAAGGGCGGCCCTGACAGGGAAACTCGAGCGCCTCCCTCGCCGGAAGTACAGGCCGCCGTCTCCGCGGCAACCGCCGCGTTCGAAAACCCCGCGCGACGCCCAGCGGCGGAAGTGCGTCACGCGCTCGCCTGCGTGGGGCGTCCTCGACGCTGTCCCGCTTTCGAATGATAACCCTCAAGAGGGGCCTCCTTCCGTTCGAACAGGACTTTCCGTACAACAAGATGGCCGCCCTCTTGTGGAGATTCACCCCCCCCACCGCTTCCTGGCGTCCTTCTCTCACTTCCCCTCCCAGAATTCCGTTCTCCGCTGTCCTATTGGCGGAGCCCGGACTTCCGGGAGCCGCGCGCCCCGGCCTAGCCGGGGCAAGATGGCGGCGCGGGCGCTGGTTCAGTACGTGGTGCTGAGGGGGGACCTTCGGCGGGAGCCCCTCTCGTGGCCCTTGGGCGCCTCGGTGGCCCAGGCCTGCCACGCGGCCCTGGCCGTGGTGCACGCGCACTACCAGCACCCGGACACGGCGGCCTACCTGGCGCAGGGCGGCAGCATGAGGACCGTCGTGCTGGAGGTGAGGGATGGGGGGGAGGGGCGTGAGGGGGGAGAAAGGGCTTTGTTTGTTTATGTATTTGGTCGTTTAGTCCTGTGTCCGCCTCTTCGTGACCCCCTGGACCAGAGCACGCCAGGCACTCCTGTCTTCCACTGCCTCCCGCAGTTTGGGCAAACTCATGCTTGTAGCTTCGAGAACACTGTCCCACCATCTCGTCCTCTGATGTCCCCTTCTCCTTGTGCCCTCCATCTTTCCCAACATCAGGGTCTTCTCCAGGGAGTCTTCTCTTCTCATGAGGTGGCCAAAGTCTTGGAGTCTCAGCTTCAGGATCTGTCCTTCCAGTGAGCACTCAGGGCTGATTTCCTTCAGAATGGAGAGGTCTGCTCTTCTTGCAGTCCATGGGACTCTCAAGAGTCTCCTCCAGCACCAGAATTCAAAGGCATCAATTCTTTCGCGATCAGCCTTCTTGATGGTCCAGCTCTCACTTCCATACATCACTACTGGGAAAACCATAGCTTTGACTATACGGACCTTTGTTGGCAAGGTGATGTCTCTACTTTTTAAGATGCTGTCTAGGATGCTGTTTATGTATTTAAATACCACCTTTTCCTCCCAAGGAGCTCAAGGTGGTGCACGTGGTTCCCCATCCCATTTCATTCTCACAACCCTGCGAGGTAGGCCAGGCTAAGAGGATGTCACCCAGTGACCCCCATGACCGGAGCGGGGATTCGAACCTCGGCCTCGGCCGCTTGGCTCATCAGAAGGACAACTCCCTGCCTCCGCAGGGCAGTACTTCCCAGTGGTCAGAGATGGCCGAGGAGTTCCAGCCCAGCCACATCTGGAAGGCTGTAGCCCCAGAGGGGGAGAGCAGCTGCCTTTGCATGCAGAAGGCCCCGGGTTCAGGCCCCATTGGCAGCTCCAGGTAGGGCTGGGAGAGAGACTGCTGCTGCTGGCTAGGGTAAAGGTAAAAGGACCCCCGACCATTAGGTCCAGTCGCGGATGACTGGGGTTGCAGCGCTCATCTTGCTTTATTGGCCGAGGGAGCCCAGTGGTCATGTGGCCAGCATGACTAAGCCGCTTCTGGCGAACCAGAGCAGCGCATGGAAACACCGTTTACCTTCCCGCCAGAGCGGTACCTATTTATCTACTTGCACTTGGACGTGCTTTCGAACTGCTAGGTGGGCAGGAGTTGGGACTGAGCAACGGGAGATCACCCCGTCGTGGAGATTTGAACCGCCGACCTTCTGATCAGCAAGTCCTAGGATCTGTGGTTTAACCCACCGCCACCCACGTCTACTGGCTAGTGTAGGCAATACCAAATTCGACATGGCAGTGGCCTGGCTTGATATGACGACCCTTCCTTGGTTCTTCAGTAAATGGGTGGGGATTGTGTCGCTTTGTGCAGGACAGCCAGCCCACCAGTCTTCCAGCTCAGCATTGGCCTGTGAGGGAAAGACCCAGAACGGCCAGTTAGTCTTCCTCTCCCCAATAACACGGGGTGGGGTGGGTAACCTGTCTCTCATCCCTTTAGCCCCCTGTAATCAAGAGTCACTCCTGTGGCAACAGTGTTAGAAACAGAGATATGAAAGCTAGGAGCTAAATGGCACCTTCTAGCTAGGTTGTGGGTGCAACAATGGAATGTCCAGGCGCACTTTTTTATAACAAGAATACGAAGCTGAAAATGAATGAACTGCAGCTAAAATATTGTGTTCATTTTTTCACATGGTCTATATATTCTTAAAAGGGTCTGTTTTCCAGTCTTCAGAGAGTAGCTTGAAGCGGGGATGCAGAACACAGTCCTCCTTTCCTTCCAGTCTGAAATCTTAGGCCCAGTACTGCATCCAGAGCTCGCGCTAATGAAATTCCCTGTTGCAAGATGCGTTGAGAATCATGGGAGTTTCCAACACTGTGTGGCAAAGTAGAGGATTAGAGGGGAGCTCTAGCAGAGTGCTTGGGGGCAACTCGCATTCCAACAGCAGCTTGTCTGTTGCAGGGGGCATGCAGGAAGTAACACTGCTAGAGAAGGGCTGCAGGTGAGTGGCAGAGGCTCAATCTCTGGCATCTCCACATAGGGATGAGAAAAGACTCCTTGTCTGGAGTCTTTTGATAGCTGCTGCCAGTCAGTGTGGACAATACTGAGCTAGATAGCCCAGCAGTATAAGGCAGCTTCTTGTGTTGGTGAAGGGCTGCAGCTCAGTGACAGAGCATCAGTCTCCAGGTAGGTTTGGGAGAGACTCCATGTCTGAAATCCTGGCAAGTCACTCCCAGTCAGTGTGGACAATGCTGAGCTAGTTGGACCAAGAGCTTCCTGTGTCTCTGCCCTTGTGCTAAAGCTGAGGAGGGGGAACCTGCAGCCCTCCAGATATTGCTGGACTCCAACTTCCATCGTTCCTGCCCATAGGCCATACCTGCTAAAGCTGATAAGAACTGCAGTCCAGCAGCATCTGGTGGAAGGCCACAGGCTCCCAGTCTCTGCAGTAATAGAGCTCTCAGCTGATGCTGTTTATTTTATATTTTATAGTAAGTAAATTTCTTCTGGTATTAAAAAGCAGAGGTGATCTAGTTCTTCTGCTGTAACACTGTGGAAGCTACTGCAGTTTGGCATTGTTTTAATGTTGAGTGTTGCAGTAAGAATCTGATTTCCTTCCCCTGCCTACTTTTCTTTCCTTAGGCCCCAGACGAGTGTGCATTGACTGCGTTAGCAGAGGCACTGCAGCAAAACAACATCGATCACAAAGTGTGGGTTGAACAGCCAGAGAACATTGCCACTTGCATTGCCCTCCGCCCATACCCTAAGGAGCACGTACACCAGTACCTGAAGAAATTCAAACTGCTGAAATGATCTTATATATTTCTGGCCTTATTCAGGACTGGCCAAGAAAATCCAGCTCTCAGGTAGGCACTTGTGGCCGAGAGTTTGTGGACAATTTGCAGTACCATAGTGAAGTGCAATATCTGAATCAGGAACCATCTTTTCATCGCATGTTGCTGGTAATTGTGGTTTCAACTGATGTGCGTCTCTGCAGATGATTAAAGGGGTTTGTTCAGACCGATATAGAGCTGGGGTTATTTTTTCACAAAACAGCCCTCTTATTTTAAGAAGAAACTTTTGATGCGCACCTTGATCGATTTAAAGATGAAAAAACCACCATCAGAGGCAGGATTCTGGGCGACATTGATCTGTGCCTGCTAAAATATTCTTGGGGGTTTGAAAGCTGACAGTATTCATGTTAGAGAGAAAAAATATAGGGCTGTGGGGGGAAATCTGTGGCCTCACAGGTGGTGTTGCTGGCAGCATAGACAGTGTTCTGGGCTGGCTAGGAATTCCAACATCTGAAGCAGTGGGGGGAGCTTACATGCCAACATCTTGAGGGTCAACTCGCACCATCATTCCTGACCTGCAGCCACGCTGGCTGGGGCAGAGGAAAGTTGGAGTCCTACCACAGTTGGAAGGCCACATGCTCCCCATTCTGTTTTATGGTCTGTTGCCTAGGAATTCCTTTTCCTTTATTAGCATTGTTGCCAAGATTGCACACATGGGAGGGGACAGCCAAGTAGACTGCTGTAAGGCAAAACTTGAGGTTATACTTGTCTCTTGGACTGACGCTATACATTTATGAAAACAAAGCTTGCTCATTGACACTGATTGTTGGGCTAAGCTCGAACAATGAAGGAGGCCATTTTTTGGGAGGTAAAGGCTTTTGGGGTGGTTGTCTGCTTTTCACAAGTATGTAGGAATCTCAAAGGCCTTGCTGGAATCTGAAAAAGTTTCTTACAGAATCACTCGCCAAAGGTGGCAAGTAAACTTAGCAGTATTCTTAGAGATTGCAAACTGGTTAAAAGAAGCCTTTGCCAACTTGCTTCTCTCCCAACTGTTTTGGATTGTAACACCCACTGACCACAGTACTAGCTAACGTGTGGAGCCTGCAAGCTGGACATGGGCGCAACAGCATCCTGCCCACCTGAGTCCCAGTAGCTGGTAATCGGGGGCATAATGCCTCCAACATCGGAGTCCAAATTCTGGAGGGCCGTGGAAGTATTTCAAGACAGAGCAAGTGAATAACACTATTTCTTCACAGCAGGCCTTAGAGGTGCTGCTTCACACCTTTCCTGTGCTCCGTGTTCCACAACCGTGTGCAAGAACCCATTGTCCTCAGAATGCAGCACTCAGACACTGTGGCTGCATATTTCTGAAGTGTCTTGGGCATATAATTAACCACCTACTTCAGTCTGGCTGTGGAAATTCCTGGCCACGCAATACCTAGATTTGTTGTTTGGTATTCTTAAGTTTAACTACTTTGATATGTTTATAGCCTTGGAAAGGCAGCAGAGCTGTGGCAGCTGGAATGCTTTGTTTCCACTCCCCTTTTATTTCTGGGGAAGGTGGGGGTTCCTGATGTGCCAGACGAGTGCTGAAGCCCCACACATTCCTTGTTGTGGTCTGGGGGCTAGGAGCTGCCATGCTTTGAAACTGAGCAGCTACTTGGACCAAGCTGCTCCCTAGAATCTATTACAGAGCCAGGTTAATAATGTAAGTAATAACTTGGACGTTACGTTCAGCAACATGGTGGGATTTCAGTTCTCTTCCGAGTGCTTCATGCCGGTGCTTGTGAGGGTTTCTGCAGGATTGAGCCATGTTGTGTGAATGTAAAAGCAAGGAAGGATCAAACCTTCCCAGGCCCCTGCTGCAACAGGAGGGAGTATAGGGCACGGGTGTCAAACACAAGGCCCGTGGGCCGAATCCGGCCCGCCAGACCTCGCCATGTGGCCCGTGTAGCCGCCGGCGGCCGCCAGCCTTCACCTTTTATTCTCGCTTTTTTTTTTTTGACACAAGAAAGCCGCCTCTTCAGCGCATGCGCGGCAGCCTACAAGCCAGAGAACGTCTGCCCTCTAGCGGCACCGGCCGTTCTACACAGGAAACCTCCACTTTACATGCATTCAGGAAACCTCCACTTGTTTTTATATTGAGCGCATGCCATCCTGTGATGTGACAGATCCAACGGCTGCCTGAACCCTTCTCTCCTGTACTGTAAGTACATGATGTATGGGGGGGGGGAGGGTCTGCTTATTAGGGGGGGTCTGCTTATTATTCTGCTTAAAAGTCTGAGCGGTAAACTTTGGATATACTGACCACTTCCGTGTCACTTTACAGTGGTATAGGGACCATAAACTACAATCAAATAACCCCAAAATGTCCAAGAAAAGAAAAGTTGATGCAGAGGGAAGGCAATTTCAGGAGAGATGGGAAAGTGAATACATGTTTCTGATTAATGGAGACAAGCCGGTATGTCTTATTTGCTATGAGGCAGTGGCAGTGATGAAGGAATACAATTTACGCCGGCACTTTGAGACCAAACATGGAGCCCAATTTGCTAACCTTAGCCACCAGGAAAAGCAACAAAAGGTCCAAGAATTAAAAGGTAGCCTGCATTCTCAACGGAATATTTTTGCAAAAATGACAGCAAAAAATGATGCAGCAGTGAAAGCCGGCTATCTTGTGGCTGAAGAAATTGCACGAGCTTCAAAGTGCTTTTCAGAAGGTGCATTTGTAAAGCAGTGTATGCTGAAGGTGGACACATAGTCCTACAGATACAACCGGCCCTTTGAGGGTGACCAAACTGCTGATGCGGCCCCCGATGAGTTTGACACCCCTGTTGTAGGAGCTCTGAGGCCTGGTGCTGAATCATGGCCCTGCCCCAGCTTCATAAAAACTCCAGTACATGTGTGAAAGAGCAAGGAAGGAGTGTTGCTCTGTATAGCAGATCTCGGCAGCTGAGGGTAGGCTCAGAGGTGCCCTGAAGTGTACACTTTAATAACTGTAGCATGGTCAAGAGGACTGCTATGCAACAAATTTTCCCTCCACCCCCAGGTCTAGCGCTGCTATCGCTCTTTCCAGAAACCATGCAAAATGTATTCTATAAGGATCTATAAGCAGCTAAGCTGGGATTGGCGATGTTGGTGGAACCACATATGGCGGCTGGCAGTCACAGAAAGCGTTGTAAAGTGTTAACAAACAACTGAGAGGGGTTAAATCGAAAGCCTCGCCCTCAGTTATTTGGTTTCCATTTGTCAAATTTGTTTTGCAACAGCAGGTAGCAGTCCTTCCTCCGGATCTCCATCATCCATTATGGACTGGTATACCTTTTTTTGTGTCCTATAGCTTGAATTCTAGATATTATCTTTCTTGGCCTTCCATAAGTGCTTTTGCTATTTGGGTTTTTCTTTCTGTGCATCTGCAAGCAGCACTGGAACTAAGTTTGTAGTCAGGCTTTGTTAAATGTGACTTGTTTGCTACTACGTGCTTTTTGTTCATCTGAAAAATCTGAATAAAAATATTTAAAAGACTACCGTGCATGGGCTCCCTTTCCTTCCTAGCCCTTCTCCCCACGAAGCCACTTCCCCACAGCCCACAAAAAAGCACATACGAGCACAGAGCTCCCCCCCCATGTTGTCCTTTTTACACAATAATGCAACATAAGCCACCGACTTTGTCTCTTTGTTTTTTTAAACTCTTGCAAATTCAATTAACAAAAAGCTACACAGTTTTGTTTTCACACATCAACAAAATTTCAGAAAGAGAAAGAGGAAAGAAAGAAATAACCCCCCCCCGTCCAAAAGCAATGCTATTTAAGAGCAACCCCACCCCACCCCAAAACTAAAAAGAGAAGGAAACCAATTTATACAAGAGGTTTGAGCTATTTACACTGAAAAGGCCTCAGAGGGGCAAAGAACAAGCTTGTCTCCCGTTCCACAGAGAATTGCCTTTTTTATTATTATAATCATCATCAATATTATTTTAAATAGTTTTAAGCTACCTTGGCTGTTAAACACAAAGCAGAGAGAGAGAGACAGAGGACTGCTTAATTTTTAATAAGAATTTTATCTACAGTAGTAGCCCAAGGACGCAACTCTGCCGCAGGCTTCTGCTGTGAACCTCTCCCATTTCATCTCCAAAGGGTTACCACATCACAAACCCTGTCGAAATGAAAGGAACGATGGCACAGCGTCGACCCTCGGCGTTTTGCTCCCCGAGCCACTGCTCCCCAGCCCTCCCCACCCCTAAAAAATATTGCAATTATTCCCCAAACTGTACTTGTGTGTCTGTCTTTTCAAAAATTATTATATTAGCTTTTTGTATGAGCTCCCCACCCCTTTTTTCATATACACAGAGGCCTTTTTTTCGCTAAGGAGGCCGTCTATATACCAGCATAAAACATGAAAAAAAATGGGTCAAAATACTCTATCATCATCATCATGATTATTTCTTTAAAACCGACAAACTCACGATTGCTAGAAAAAGCTGATTGCACAAACGGGTTGGGAGGGGAAGGGGGGGCGGTCAGTCAAGGGCGTGTGCGTTTTTTAAGAACAGCTAAAAGCATCCCAGAGACGAGACGAGTGCGATTATTCACCCAATTCCTGCTTCGCTGAAGACGCAAATCAGTGACAGATCCAGCTGAAACTGAGAACTCGACTCCTCTTCCTTCCCACCCACCCCCAGCAAGACGCCTCCCCTCGCTCTCGTAACACGCTCCCCCCCACCCCTTAAAACCAAGTAACCTCCATCAGGGATAAGAAGAAGCCAGCAACTGATTACAAAAATAAGGATCATCTGTCATTTTGGCTCAACTGTTTTGTCACTTTGCGACATCCATCATTACCTTTTTTTAAAAAAAAGAAAGAAAGAAAGGGGAGGGGGACCTTTTTTTTTTGCTCCAAACACTACGAGAATGGCTGCAAGTTTTTGAGATATCAAAAATCTCAGAAAAATATAATATATATATATTTATATTTATATATATATCTCTATGTCTTATTATTTAAATTTCACATTCCTTTGAAAAGCAGGTTATTCAGTCAGTAGCTGCTGCAGGAGGCTTTTCTGCTGGGCTTGGGGGGTCTGGGGGCCGGCAGAGGCTTTCTGGGCCCCCACAGGACCCGGCTGGTTAAGGTAAGGGTCTCCGCCCACCAAGTTGACCGTACACTGCACATCAGCAAACACCTGTACCTGCTGCACCTGCCGAGAGAGAGAAAGAGAGGGGGGCCATTAGCCATGAGGGTGCCGGGGGGTGGGGTGAGAGGGGGGAGAGCTTCCCGGTGGACGGAGGCAGGTACTACGGTGAAGTGGAAACTCACTAGAGAGAATTCCTCTAGCCTGTAGTCACCACAGAGAAGAAGAACTCTTCTGTCTTCTTGCCCTACAAAAAGAAAACCGCTGCACTCATTTGGATCGGAGCTCAGAAGAAGTTCTCGCGTCAAAGGTTAAGCCGGGGCAACCCTGAGTTTCCAAACACCACTGGCAGAGCAGGGCTGCAACAGGAAGGAATCCAAACCGCCAGGCCCTGGGCAGCCCAGGAGGTCAATTTTCTCTGCCTTTCCCAAGTGGCTGTCCCCTCCCAGATGCTTTGGGCTGCACCTCCCATCATCCATGTTTGCATTTTGCGTTTTCTGTATTGCGATTCTAATGTTGTGAACTGCCCTGAGATCTAACTTTAATAAGTAATAATCAGCCCTATTGGGCACAATCAAAGGAGTTGTAGCCCAAAGCGGATCTGGAGGGCACCAGCTTGGGAGAAGACTGGCTTTACGTTTTGATCCGGACCCCCTTTTTGCAAAACTCTCCCAGCGGTCAAGAATAATGGGGCACCACCTCCCGCTGCGAGCCTTTCCTTGAAGTTGCAGATTCTCTCCCGTGGCTCCGGGGCAGAAGGCAGGTCTCTGTCACGAATGGCACCTGGAAGCAAGAGGGGCTGAACACCAAGTCTCAGAATATTTCCCCCAACGCCCCTTTGCCCTTTGAATTTTCCTCTGCTCCTGCCGCCTTGGGTTTTCCCAGCATCTGCTGGCAGTTTTAGTAATGTAAGTTCTAGTAAGTACAGAATCGGATAACCCTCACGCCGAAAGCGTCTCTCATAACAGGGCAATCCACATTGTCCCAGAATGATGTAGTACGTGGACAGGTGCCTCAAATTGTCTATCCCCGATGCCCACGTTTCATCTGTCCCTCTGGTCAGTGTCCACTCTGAGGCCCCCACCCCATGCCAGATCTTCATTCCTGTGCCCCATCCATCACCTTCCATTCCCCCTCCCACAAATGCCTAGGGACACAAAACTGCCTCCAGACACACAGAAATATTGCCCCGTTCTATTTAAGTCGCCCCTATGCTCCAGAGTCAACACGTTCCTTGCTTGAGGGCCCCAGTGGGCGAAAAAACTGCTTTTGCTGCAAGAAAAGGTGAAGAGCCACAGTTGGGAGTTTGGGTCAAAGTGAATGTTTTCATCTGGCTCTGGAGTGCCAAATCTCTGGGTAAAAATAAACTTGAGAGAAGAGCGTATGGAGAAGGGTAAAGAACAGACTCGAAATGCTACACTTCCCTCAATTTACGGGATATAGAGCAGTTTTGTGGGCCAAGGAGTCGTTTCTGTAACCTTGAATTCCTCCTTGATCTAGAGCAGCCTTTCTCAACCTGTGGGTCTCCAGATGTTGTTGAACTACAACTCCCATCATCCCTAGCTAGCAAGGCCAGAGCTCAGGGATGATGGGAGTTGTAGTCCAACAACATCTGGGGACTCACAGGTTGAAAACAGCTGAGAAGAGCATTGGAAGGGGAAGGGGGGCTAAGCAAGAGTTTTATTGTGCCTCACCAACATCACCCATCCAATTTGATACATTTTTTTTTTACTGCTCTTATGGCTCACCTGCAGTGATGCCCGAAGAGGTTTTGAAACCTCTCAAGGCCCTCATTTTTAAATAAAATAATTTTTAAATGGTTTAAAAATAGTAACTGACTGTTCCCATAGGTTCCTCATTGAGATACTGTGATGCCAAAAGTAGCCCCCGATCCACAAATGTGTCAACTTTTAAGAAAAGGGTATTGGCGTAGCCGGGGGGGGCAGCTGCCCCCCTAAGCCAATACAAATCTGAGGTTCTGCCCCCCCCCTAACAAAAATCCTGGCTACGCCCATGCAAAAGGTGTTGTTTTTTACTGACCAGTCCTGAAGGTTCCCTGCTATGGTGCCAAAAAGTTTTTCTGATGCCCCAGACTTCAAAATGTGTCTTTTTGACTATATTCACTTTTATATTTTGTCCACACCCACTGGCCATTTTGATGTGTGCCTCTCTTAAGGGTTGACCACGAGTCAAATTCAGCCTTTTCCCCTCCCAAAGGTTAGCCACCTGTGATCGAGAGCCATTGCTGCCCTTAAAATTCCAGTAAATGCCCTCCGTGTTTCTGAACTGATTGCAAGTAGATTGTCTGACTGCGGGCCGCAGGAAACAGAGGGCACTTGGGTGAATCTCCAAGGAAGTCAGCTCTACTGCTATTTCATGTTGGCTGAATTGTTTCTGCTATCACCCTGTGACTGCAGAACCCCTAAATGGGATCCAAACTGGCTCCTAGGAGACAGACCGACTAACCACGGTTTCCAGTGGGCAAGCAAGCTCAGTAAACCCTTGTTTGAAGCTAGCAGGATGGCGAAGCTCTTACCTGATAGCTTTACCATTCATTTGTATGGTTTTTAAGCCACAGTAGAACTCTGAAAAGCCTCTTCAATGTGAAAAAAGCACTCCTGAGAAATGTCAATTGGGCGAAGCAAATAAACGAAGGAAAACATTTTTAGTATTGTGTCAGCTTGCCCAAAGGGGGGGGGGGGGATGGAGAACTTGCGGCCCTCTGTATGTTATTAGATTCAAACTCCCATCAGCCCCAGCAGGGCCGCTTTCAAAGAGGCCGTACCATTTAATGCGCCAAGAGGAGGAGACCCAGCTGATTAACTGCATCTTAATTTCGTATGCAGCTTTCAGCCCCGCATGTGAGAAGCAGCCCAACTAGATTTCCTAGATCCAATTCAATCTGGTTTCTGGCCTGGATTGGGGGCTGAAATCACCCTGATTGCTCTCATGGAGGATCTACCTTAGAAGGAGCAGAAAGGTCTGTGTGATGTTTCTCAGCAGCTTTTAATACCATCCTTCCGAACCAGTTCTGAACCATGAGGTGGGGCCACTGCCCTTAACTGGTTCTGTTCCAACCTGAGAGTTGGCGGTGACACTACAGAGTTTCCCCAAGGCTCTATTTTGTCCTCCATACTGCTTTAACATCTACAGTGGTGCCTCGCAAGACGAAATTAATCCGTTCCGCGAGTCTCTTCGTCTTGTGGTTTTTTCGTCTTGCGAAGCACGGCTATTAGCGGCTTAGCGGCTATTAACGGCTTAGCAGCTTTAAGAAAAAGGAAACAAACTCGCAAGAACTCGCAAGAAGTTTCGTCTTGCGAAGCAAGCCCATAGGGAAATTCGTCTTGCGGAACGACTCAAAAAACGGAAAACCCTTTCGTCTAGCGAGTTTTTCGT